ATATTTATTTGTATTGTTATGCAGTAGTACCTCCTAATAAAGGAACACCTATCGTTTTGAAGACCAGAAGTTTTGTCCCTTAAATAGAAGTGTCCTGGAAATTTCGGTGTACCGGAAAGTTCTGTCTGTTTTTGAAGAAAAACAAAATACAAATTTTTCTTACTGTCAATAAACTTTGTTAAATAATATAATTGCCTTTATTATTAATAACTTCTTGCCAATGTGAATTTGTATATCACATTTTTGAAAAATGTATCTTTCGTTGTGAAAAATTTAACCAGTGCTTGTTTGATATCTTCTTAATTTTTGAATTTTTTTACCTTAAAAATTTTTATAAGGACAAAAACAAGTGATAGTTGGAGAGTGCTAAGTCCACGGAATATGGTGGATGTGACAGAATTTCCCAGCCTAGTTCTGCAATTTTTTTATGAGTCTCTAAAGCAGCATATGGCCTGGCATTATCATGATGTTCTTTCTATTGAACATCGCTGGCATCTTTTCTTGGACTGCTATCTTTGAATTATACAGTTGTTGACTTTTCTGAATTGAATTTTTCATTGGGTTTTAAAAGCTCATAATGTATTGGTCCTCGAATGTCCCACCATATACACAACATTCTCTTATTAAGAGTCAAATTTGGGTTTAGAGAGGGAAGGGCTAGGTTTTCCGGGTTCACAATATGCCCTTTTCCTTACGATGTTTTTATAGGTAATCCACTTTTCATCCCCGGTTATCATCCGGTTCAAGAAGGGCTCAATTTTGTTCCGAGCAAGCAGAGAGGTACAAATAATGACTCGATCATCCAAATTCTTCGGACTTAATTCATGTGGCACCCATCATGAATATTTCCACACTAATCCTATCCTGTGAATGTGGTCCAAAATGGTTTGCTGAGCTGAATTAAGCCTTTCTGCAATCTCCGATGTTGTTGGAAAATTATCTTGCTCCAGCATGATTTAACAACATCGTCATTGATCAAAGATGCTTGCCTAGAACGTGGCTTATCAGAAAGATTTAAATCACGTATTTCAAATTTTTCAAACTATCTTCTGCAGATCCTATCAGAAACTGTACCTTCACCAAACAATTTAAATAAATTTCTACATGCTTCTGTAGCATTTCTTCCTTCTTGAAATTTGTATGAAATACGTAAATGAATTTTATCAGTAGCCATGGGTACACTATCGCTTCACACTTGAGACTAATGTGAATCAACTTTCTTTTAGTTAATATTTCCTTTAGTTAATTTGCTACATCATTATGTATACATTAAGTAATAAAAATAAAGAGGTGAGCATACGGCAAATAAACATGTGCTTATGTGTCAAAAAATTGTTGTAATAGAAACAGAACTTTCCAATAGACCGAATGCATGCCCAATTCAAAGCAACTGGGGCCAACTGAATTGTCCTTTAAATGAAGGCTTCTGTTACAGGAGGTACTAATGTATATATTTTACTGTTATGACAGTACGTTAAAGACTTAAAATCTTAATTTTTCTAAGAATACAATTTCTTTATTCAGAACTGATGTCAGTTTGCATATAAATTCTGTATAATAAGACATGAGTTATGTACTGATGTCATAATGATGTATTACTTATGAAATGTTACCATTTCTTAGTTTAAAGATCACATGAATGTTTGTTAAATCAAAAATTTCCCTTGATGTTGATTTTTAAAAAAGTTATATAAGAAAGTGTAAAGATAATACAAACATAATAAATAGCTAATATTTTTTCTTTTCGCTTGCTGATGTATACAAATTACTTATGGTAGACATTAAATTTTAATACACTTATAGAGAGACCTGCTGCTGAGAACTTAAAAAGCGGAATTTAGAAATTTATTTTAAACATTAAAAAAAATATTATAATTCTTAGTTTTAAGTTACATTTTAAATCAATTAAGTTGCATATATATTTTACTTTAGCATTCTAAAGAATTTTGCCAGTTTCAAAGAAGTGCATCGATCTTTAGATGCCTTTATAATTTGCAAAATATACAGGAAATAAGTTTATTGTACAATATATTGATGACTAAATGAAGGATAGAATTTTTTAAAAAGTATTTTGTAGAATTGTCAAGGTTCTTGAGGATAAGGATGCTGGTTTGTAAAAACATAACTATTTAAAAACCTTATTATTATATAAATGCTGAAATGTTCAGCATTTTTTCATTATAATCTTGAGGATGCAAACAAATGCAGAAATGAGGAAAATTTATAAATATAATTAAGATATAAATTTTAGTCATTTTTTTCTTTTTTTATTTTGTGTGATGATTTAGAGAAATTGTCATATGATTTAAAAATATTTTTGGATTTCAGTTTAGTTAATTGTGCGCTAAAAAATTAAATAGAAGTATATAATTTCAAAAATATTAAAAAAATTCTGAGGTTTTCATTAATTATACTTGTTAGCATGAGTAAAAACAATTTGAAATTTTCAAGACATGTTAATATATATTAAAAACGTAAGTATTTGTTTAAAAATAATTTATTGAGAGCTATTTATGGTGGTAGTAATTTCTGTTGATATATATATATGTAAATTATTATATCTTATTAAAAATTTTATAAAAAAAAGCTTCTTATGTTTGTAGTATCGAAGCAATCTTTGGAAATCTGAATAAAATATATGAAAAATCTTAATTGAATATTTTCTGAATTTGTCAGTTCATTTTAATTTTCAGTCTTGTTTTTATCTGCAAAAGCAAAGGAAACACATTCATTTTGTGCAGAAAGGGTGTTATAATAAGTTTAAGTTCAAACGCTATAAAAAAGACCGCTCATGAAATGACGTAAATTGAGGATGTTTTGAAAGAAGGGGAGGGAAGGGGCGTATGACAGAAGAAAAAATTAGTTCCAAGTAGCAACAGAGGCGCTGCAGAGGAAAAAGAAGGGACGTTAAATAAAATGTTAGTTAAATTTCAGGTTATAAAGCCGCCAGGTACCAGGTGTTCCCGTTTCGCGTCTCAGACGTTCGCCATGGGTGTTCATGCAGGCGCGCTCTGTGGTAAGCGGATTACAGATGATGATTTGTGCAAGATAGCTCTGCAAAAATTCAGACACTGAAGGGTTATAAAAGAAGCCGTTGTCCATGAGTGTGTAGGTCTAAAGAAAATGATGCAAAAATTCGAAACGAAAGGTCGTTGATGTGCAATCTGGTAGAGAGAGAAAAACGAGTGCATTCGACGGTAGTTGATGAGTAGCACAGCATAAGGAGGGGTCGGCGGTGGTGTGCAACCGTGCAGTGCACGAGGAATGCCGCACAGGGGACAGGGCTCGAGCACGGTGCTGAAAAATTGTACGAAATCTGCATGCTATCGTACAACATGTCATGTGCGGGTTGCTTCCGTCTGACCTGACAGCTAGGGGGCCGTTTGCGTTAGAATTCCTGGCTCGCATGAAGTGATAATGATGGCCGTGTGAAACTTTTGTGACGATGAAGCCATTTCCATCTGACAGGATACTAATACCCAGAATTTCGAATATGGGAACAGAAATCCTGGCAACGCACCCCGTACCACTCATCCTGAAAAGGTCCGGTATATGGTGTGGCTTACGGCATATTCATCTTACAACATATGTTTTGAGAGAGAGGGTGCTTCCGGTCTGTTCCCGCAACTCACTGGCAGAGGTATGAGTTCTTTTGCAAACCAGTGCTTCCAGCTCTGAACAGGAATGGATGTGTGGATGAAATCATTTTAAGCAAGATGGCGCTATCCGAACATGCACATCCCGTGAAGCAGCTGCTGAGGCGCCATTCGGAATGCTCGAATTATCAGCTGTCATTTTCTACAGCTGGCCGTCCGATCGCCTGATCTTTCGTGTGATTCTGGTGTGGGATACTGAAGGAGTGTGTTCCGTGCTCAATTGCAATTTAGGGAATTAAAGGCACGCTTCGCAACACATCTGAATATCACCCGATACACTGCGATCGTTGTGAAACATGCTGTTGTCGCTTTCAACTTGTTGCAACAACGTGGACACCATATTTAACATGTTTTGCGCCAGTCTCGCGATAGTCCGAACTTCTTGATGAATGGTCTAGCGGATGTCGCCGCAAAACTCTTGAAACCGATTTGCCCTTTCGATGTGATATGTACAGCATGCAAATAAAATTATCAACAATTCTATTCATCAATGCGTGGTAATGTTAAACTTCCCCTTAGCGTTTTTTTACGCTCATTTCAGTTCTCGTCGTGATTCTGCCGCTTACAGCGCCATCTGTTTCTACTTTTGAAAATAAATTTTTTCTTCTGCCATCGCTTTCCGCCTTCTTCAATACATCCTTCAAAATTTCACATCATTTTCATCAGTGGTTCTTTTTTTATAGCGTTTTGAAACTTAAACTTTAATTATAATCACCCTGTACTTAATAGCTAATTCATATGGCCTAGTAGTCTAATACAAAACTTAAGATCTAAGGCCACCAATATGTATTATATCATCATTTTTGTGAATTTGTTATGTAAGCTGATAATAATTCAGTTATTTTAGTCACTTGTATTGGTAGAATATGGTTTACAAATAATGACTGCTGTAGTTTTTCAGGACTGCTGAGAAAATTTAGTAAATGTCATACTTTTTGTTTTGCTTCTGATTTTTTTTTTGTAATAATTTACTTTATGTTTTCTTAAAGTCTAAGATGTATCAAACTGAAATGATATTTTTATAGTCGTTTACAAATTGCTCAATGTTTCCAAATGCAAATGTATTTCAAATAAACCTTTATATGAAGTAAAGTGTTTTGTTGTTTATTCTCACATTTTTAAGATAACAAGAATTATTTTAATGAATGATATATCTGTTACCAAATATATTTCATCACCTGATTAATTTGGGAAAAAAAAAAGAAGGGGGGGGTAATTCAGTTTTAGTTGTAGTTCTTAAAATTTGCTTTTTTACATCGCATACTTAGAGCAGTAGTTAAATGGTATGCTTTTTTACTTTTTATGTTGTTTAGAATTAGTAATCTGGTTTTGGCATTATTTCAGGGAATAAAGTTTACTCTCTGTCCTGTATCAACTCTTCTGCCCATACTGCTGTATGTCATCATGTACTTTCTGGATGCTTAATCTTCTGAAGGCCATTAAGCAAGTGCTACATTATGATGTAGTTATATATATAACAAAGGTTATGCATAATACTATATTTGTTAAATACCAGCTTCAGTTCTGTTTTTTATAGCAAGAACTAAAGATTTGAATGTATAGATTTTTTTTTTTTTTTTTTTTTTTTTTTTAATATTCTCTTTGCTCTAATTAAAGGCATGCAGAGGCGAATGCGCTTCAGTTATACTGTGAAGAATAAAAATTAGAGCAGTTAAATTATTTAGGATGCCCTCTAAAAATATTTGCATCAGTTGCTTTATGGATATGCTTTTTAAATATCTTTCACACTTAAGAGTATTGTATCCTCCCCTTTCCGTTCTAAAAGTTATTAACTCTTAAACCAATCTATTTCTCTAGTAAAGTAATTCTATATATATATTTTTAAAAAATCCTACTTAGAAAGTTAACAATTCCATTTGTTTAAGTCTGATTTTATTCAAAGTTATGAGTATGTTGAAAGTAATAAGGAACTAGCATTTAAAATAATATTTCTTATTTATTATTTTGTTTTTAATTACTAAATTAAAGATAAACCAGTATTCTGTGAGAAAAGGTTTTACTTTTATATTTATACCTGAAAATACAAAGGAAAAATTGTTATGATTAATAAGTAGAATGTATATTTGCACAAGGAATCTAATTAGATGTGATATATCACACATACTGCCATATCTGTGAATATTTAGGAATGGGAATATAAAAACTCTTTCAGTTTTTGATAAGTATATTTGTTTCTTAAATTTGAAATTTTTATGGTTAAGAAAAATATTTAAGAAAAAATTTTACTATTGGAATTGAGTTTTGGGAAAGCTATTTATTTATTAATTTGATTTATTATTATTATTTTTTTTTTAATTCTGTAGATTTTTATATAGCATTTTCTCTTTCCATAATTTCCATTACGGGGAATGTTACAACATTGGAACTTGGTTTTGATAAAATGTGAAATCACTGTAATTGCTGCTAATGTGAGGTTATATATGCAGAGAAGATTCAATATTGGAGTAGGAAATAAATATCTTTCTTTCTGGAAAAGATATATTTTTCCATTGACTGTTTTTAATTAGATTTATGAGAAGTTATTTCATTGCTATTCTAATTAAAAAGAAAGAAAAAATACCTGGAAATTGAGATAAGAGTTGAAAAAAATAGTGATATTTTTTATGAAATGGTTATGATTGGTTGATTTAATTTAATATGGCAAAGCTATCTGCCTAATGCAAAAGATGCCTTCGTGGAGGACTTTGTAAAGGAAATTGGCTCATATAAATGTTATACATGGGATAACCACAGAAACACCTATGCAGCTAGCCCATTTGCTTGGATTCAAACCTAGGTTGGATCTACTAGTGTTCAGCGATTTTACGTTTGGGCACTGGAAGGCTCCAAAATGGTTATGAACTGTCAATTGAAGAAAGGACTGTTCTCAAAAGTAGTGCTATTTTGAAGGAGTTTTGAAAAAAGTTTTCATTTATTAACCTTCTGAACACCATGACCAGCTTTAAACTCATGAGATTTTTTTTGTCACTTGATCTATATTAGCTTATAATTTAGGATATTTTGCTTCCTTATTTTCTTTAATAATATAAATTCCAACTTAATGAATGTCAGTTTATGAAAGTAGAGACATATAAGTAAATATACAAATTTAGCTACTAAAGGTTGTTTAAATTCAGATCTTCATGACAGACACAAAAACCCATGCCGCTCAGAGAGTTTATGAATAAAAATGTATAAACCGAGATTTATTATAAGGTTGTTTTTTTAAGGAATTTCCAGTCAACTTCTGTGCACTGGTTGTCAGCCTTCTTCTTGCTGCCTAGTAATAAATGGTGTTCTGTTTCCGTTTTTACAAATTTCTTTCCACTTATATTGAACACACTGGTTACAATGGTGTTTTGACAGTTGCAGCTCTGGCAGACAGAATTTGGAATTTGTGTCTCTACATTTAAATTTTGAATAGAATTCAAAATTTCGTTATTAGGTGTGTACAGTTACTACATAATTTGTATTTGCAGTTCTTAATACTTTTACTCTTATTAGTCATGATAGGTGTTACAAAACATCAGAGTTATTTATGTATTTAATTATCTGTATCATTCTCTTTAGAGCTCCATCATGACTTAGAGCAGTTCATACCATTTTCATTCATTACTTGTCAGGGATCTTGATAACTGAATACTGAAGTTAATTGGCTTTAAATATCCATACACAAACTTTCATAAATATAATAAAGTACATAGTTTTCACAAGTTTCCTTCAAAATATTTTTCAAATTAAAATTTATATAATTTTATAAAGATAGTGACAGTAAGTTTCAAGAAAGATATCTGTAATTAACATTATTTCAAAAATTGTTTAAAATACCAGTTTTTGTTTAATGTGTATTATTATATTATTAATGAATTAATAGAAAGGTTAAACTTTAGAAGGGAATTCTTGGCAAAACTTTCTTTTCCAAATATTTTTCTCATAATCTGTAACCTTTGTCATAGGAATTCTAATGCTTCTTTTTAGTGTTTCATATTTTGAATATAGTTATTTCTACAAATTTATTACATTATTTGCTCTTTGTTGTACTTGCAAATGAGAACAGGGTTAAAGAGACTTCTAAAACCTGTCAAGAAAAATTAATGTGCTCTCTATTTCAGTGTCCAGATACTGGACCGAGCCAAATTTCTTCCCATAGTTAAAGGTTTCTTACCAAGATATTAAAATGTATTATTTTCATTGATTATAGGAAACCAGTGTGTAGGAAATGTGATAAAAATTCCAATAATTTTAGTGTAAATGTTTTTACTAATAAGCAGATATATATTTCATAAACATTAAAAAGACGACCATATAAGCCATAGACATTTCATAAGTGCTGAAAGAAGACCATATATGCTATAGTCTTTTATTGTTTTTCTCATAATTTTACTGTAAAAGTTTTGTCGTAATTGTATAGTTACTTTTTTTGTTTGTTTGTTGGACAAATTTTAAAGCTAGTGTTACATTTCCTATACTATATCAACATGCAATAAAAATATCAAATATAATTAAAAAGTAACTAAACAATTTTAGGCTTTTTTATGTAGCAAAAGTTTTTATGATTGCATTATAATTTTTACTGTAAAAATTTTGTATTATTACATTTTTTTTTCTGAGCAAATTTTAAAGCTAGTGCTACGTTTCCTATACTACATCAGCATGCATTAAAAATAATACCAAATGTAATAGAAAGGTAGACAAACAATGTTCACGCTTTTTTATGTAGCTTTCAGAAAAGTTTGTGTGATTGAGTAACAATTTTTAATAAAATGTGTAAAAAATTCTTAAAATAATTCTCATGTAAACAATTTTAAGAATTTGTTCAAAGATACTGAAACTATTTTGCCATCATCTTCCAGAAAGTGTTGCATTATGCTGCCAATTGATGTGTTTATTTAAATAAAGTCCTTTATCAAACTTTATTAAAATAAATCGTGGATTTTATGATAAATACATTAAATGAAAGCACTATTTTATTCTTTGGAGAAGTTAATTGTATTTATTGATGACAGATACACTGTCCATCATTGTAATGTTTGAGATGTTTTGCATTATTTTTACTTCATATTTTAAAATTGATAAAATTAGTAATGTATGCATAATTATAACGCACAGTTAGCTGAAATTGGTCTGTGAAAAATTGCTAATTATTTTCTTCAAAATCTGTATGTCATAATTTTCAGAAATTTATCCTTCATGCAATTCAGCTGTAACATGAAGGAAAATGAGAGTGCATATTCTGAGAAAAATACCTCTTTGTTTTTAATTGCTATTAATTATGAATAATTAAAATAACTGAAATTTTTTAAGTGAAATTAAGGCAACAGAAATTATTAGGTACCATATGCTTCATGACAAAGCTTATGTCTTTCATTTTTGGTAGCAAGGAGTATTTAAAATATTTTTTATTGTAAATCTCTTCAAGAAAGCTTTTATAAACCTTAATAAAATTCCATATTAATAATTATTAAAGAATACTAGACACTATAAAAGTACAGTAATATTCCAAAGTTACATGGTGTTTCTAGACTCATGATAAAAGTCATTTTATCATGTAAAGTATTTCTATAGATATAGTGTTAAAATAGAAAGGATTATGTCAGACAATTTTCACCAAAAATGATGGCTATATTCTTCTTCATGTAATGAAGGACAGAATTTAAATTATTCACAGTTTTTATTTTATTTAAAGATTATCAGTACTTACATATGTACATAATTTTCATCACAATTGTGGGATTAAGTTAAATTGTAAAGAAGAGAATATTTGAAGATGGGATGAAATCTGAACTGAAACAGATCTCACTTTTTCCTGTGGAAGAACATAATATTTCATTTGAATACATCTCATATTCCATGTGAAAAGCACAAAAACTACTTTTCTTTCAGTCTGATACAGCAGTGTTAACAAAGGTGACAAGTTAAGGCAATGGAAGTTTATTAATGCACATAAAATAACAATATATTATGTAAATAAACTAACCTCTATGTTGGTTGCTCTATATTATTGATAGCTTGACTGATCTCAAAATCCTAATATATAGTTTTAGAGGGATACTGTAATTTTAGCTCGCCATCTTCCTTTATGGTTAATTTGGTATAAACAAAGCAGGTTTATATGGACAAAGGATTGTCTTCCTTTTATCTTGCAAGCACATCTACTGCACAGGCATTTAGATGTACTCACACATTTTTGTACAATTAGTTTATATTTTTTTAAAATTTATTGTTATTGTTATTATCTAAAGTTCAGAATTCTCAATTGTGAAGCTCTGCAGTTTGGGTTTTCGTTTATTGTTATGTGATATATGATGCAGTAGTCTTCAATATAAGTAATTTTTTTAGTTCGATGTAGTGAGATGTGAAATCTAGGTTGTGTAGATTAGGCTGTCTAAGGTACCGCTACATTTATTGATTACTTAATTTAAGTGAACTAAAAATAAAAATGTTAACAGTTTTTTCATCTTTTTATTATTTATTTATTTACTTTCTAGATAAATTGCCATACTTTAAATGTGTTGTTTGTTTGACTGAAAGTAGCTAAACGTGACTGTACTGTGTAGGCTACATACACTAGATGTATTTTTAGGATTTTATCATGTGTGTTATCTTTTTTTTTTGGGGGGGGGGGGGTTAGACAAAAATATTTTGTGTGTTTTCTTTATGCTGGAGTGAACTGTATATTTGAATATTTAAGTTACAGGACTACTCAATGTAGTTGTGTCATTTTCTGTAGGTAAGAAAACATGATAAAAACTCGCTGAAAATATCCATTATAAATAAATTAATTAGGGATTAGTTTTTACTGTTAA